GGACTCTTGCATTATCCTGCACCATTTTTTGCTGACCACTCTGTCCTCCCTCCTTGTATCCACAAAACCATTCCAGTAAACGCATACACCTGCTAGTCTCCCCATTACTATGGCAGCCTTCTTCTGCTCTGATCATCTCCATTCTTTCATTACCAGTTTGTTCTGCAGGGGTGGTGGCAGGGGATGTTTCTGTACTAGGGGTTGCTGGGTCATGGTCAGTGGATGGGACCAGAAGTTTGACATCCGCCCCATCCAAACACCTCTCCTTTCTGACATCCGGGGGCATTTCTTTATGAAGGCCTCCATCACCATTACTAAGGCTCTTCTCGGTCAGTCTGTACATTTCCGCTTGGCCTTTAGTGGGAAACTTTTCTATGTAGCGGAGCCCCCAGACTGTAGTGGTGCGAACCTGCTCCTCATCTGGTGGAGAGGTGCAGAGGCTGACCACCACCGCCACCAATCCTGAAATCCAGAACAGCCCAGCAGCAAAATACATGTAGTGAACATGAATGACGAAGGCAGGCCTGTCATCTGGCTGGTCGCAGCGAGGCTGGCGGTAAATAAAAGCTAGTATCAGTCGTACGGTACCAAGTGTGAAACCTGTCATGCCGCCCCAAAAGGCACCTTCTCATTACACCGTTTCCAGAACACTCCAAGCAGGAAGAGGGCAGCAATTGGGGGTGTGAGGTAGCCTGCTACTTCCTGGATGTAGAGGTAGGTCTGTCCACCTTGCATTTCAATAATAACAGGGACCCAGGCAATGCTGATTGCCACCATGAGCACAATAAAGATGCGGCCCACGGTAAGCAGCTCCCGCTGAGATGGCTTCCCTCGAAATGTTTGGTAGATGTCCAGTGTGAAGATGGTGCTTGCACTGTTGAAGATAGAGTCTAGATCACTCATCAGGGCAGCGATCATGACTGCCATCATCAGACCCCTGAGTCCCACAGGCATCACCGCCATGACCAGGCGTGGGTAGGCAATGTTTGAGCAGCCGGCTTGAGAGCCACACACAGCCATGCAGTGCTCTGGCCCAATGCAGGCGATCTCGTCCGCAAACAGGATGCGGGAGATCATTCCTGGAATGACTATTAAAAACATGGGCAGGACCTTGAGGAATCCAGCCATGAGTGTAGCACACTTAGCGTGAGCAATGTTCTTTGCCGCTATTACTCTCTGAACAATGACCTGGTCTGCACACCAATACCAAATAGATGCCGGGGTCTGGCCAAGAATGAAGCCTGGCCATGGGATGTCTTCATCCAGGGGACCTCGAAGGATGCGTAGAGAGTCTGGTTTAGGCTCTATGCGGCAGGAAGGAGAATAGGTGAAGTTTCCACTGGCCATTATAGCAGAAATATTGGGAACTGCCTGCATGTACTTAGTTCTGACTCCCTCTAGCCCGCCAACCTTGAGTAGGCTGATAATGGTTAAGGTTAGGGCTCCGCCAATCATCAGTACTGCCTGAAGTGCATCTGTGTACATTACTGCCACCAATCCACCAGTGACCGTGAGCAGTGCAGTCATGCCAATGAGCAGGACAATAGACAGATAAATGTTCCATCCCAGGGACTCCTGAATAAAGAGAGCTCCAGCATACAAGTCCACAGACAGCTTGGTAAAAATATACAGTAACACAGACAAGGAAGCAAAATAAATCTTTAGCCTGCTGCCGCCGTAGCGCTTCGAGAGATACTCAGGCATTGTGTAGACTCCCGAGTGGATGTACACAGGGACAAACACCCAGCCAAGCAGCTGCAGAAGTAGAATTGCATTAAATTCCCAAGCTCCAACAGCAAAGCCACTTGCTGCTCCTGACCCAGCCAGGCCTATGAAATGTTCACTGCCAATGTTGCTGACGAAGAGTGATGCGCCTATCACTATCCCCGTCATGGATCTTCCGGCCAGGAAGTAGCCGCTCACAGTGCCGCGATTGGCTTTCCACATGGCAAGAAACCCGATGACTAGCACCAGGACAAAATACAGTGCTACCACAGCTATGTCCGCTGCTTCCATTCCAAGACGCATTTTTATAGATTTTTTAAAAATCTCACAGCTATATGAATCCTTGCAAAAACGGGAACGCAACTAGTCAAAGTTATGACTCAATTATATATTTTTTAAAAGGAGCAATGCAAATGCTCTGCTTTGGTTTGCTGTCTGGATGGAAGCTGTAGTATCCACCGTCAGATCAAATTCACTAGCTGTGCTTCGGAGGGGATTATCCACCGGCACTGAGGTCGTTCTAGTTTTAGAGCAGGATGTTGTAGGCCTCTGGTCTAGAAAAGCCTAGAGTTAATATTCCTGCAAGACAGCAAAGACAAAGAAAAACACCTCATTAGAGCCTTAATTTGAGAAGGAAAAATACCGAACAGAAATGCTTGAAAGTTTAACAGTCTCTTGTTAGCAAGACAGAAATGCTTTCAGTTTGAATAATTACAAGAGTTAAAATGATCATATCACAAACATAAAATGATCTAAATTACTAGTGAAAGAAAATATGGAATAGCACTCTAAAGACTACATAAGGATTAATAGGAATTAATTCGTTTTGCAACTGCAGTATTTTTCCAGCACCAGTCCTTGGGTTTAGCCCACGTATGACTTTCCTCCTTAATCTTTCTAAAACACATGGAACTCAAGCCATGCCACTGCAAAAACTTTTAAAATAATAAGCTTAACAACATTATGTAAGAAATCAAGAAGGCACAAAAACACATAGCCAAAGGCTCTGCAGTTCCTACATTACCTAATATGTGGCCTGACTTTTGTCATCTTCGAAGTCTTGCAATTCTTTAAGATAACAAACAAAACCTCCATGTGGGTGGTCCTAAGCATGTTTGGAAAATGTAAAGACAGCCATTCTTTGCTGGCACCTCTAACAAAATTGTGCCATTCCAGTCCATGGTTTAGGTCATGAATAAAGAGTAGAGGGACGCACCAGGACAATAACTAATCACACAAAATGTCTTATTTTTAATAAATTGTAATATACCAAAATCCATGCACACACACACACACACACTAACTCGCAGTGAAACCACCAACTTACAGTTAGCTGAATGCTATATACACATATGCTAAAAAATACAAATTCAGACACTTAACAGTGAGATGGTTCAAAATGAAGTGTCAGGTGATGTGTGAGCTGTTTAACGTCTAACACACACACACACACACACACACACCCCCCAATAAAATAAGTCTTTGTTTTCATTTTACCATCTCATAATCAAGGGCTATACTCCATGTGTTCACCATAAACTGTCCAAGAGACTGTGGCTCTGAAATACAGCAGTCAGTCAGTAGTTATATAATGCGGGATTCAACCATAATCACTAACATCCCAGTGTGCCAGGGCCTACTTATAGAGCCCTCACTTAGGCCACCGCCAAAAAATAAATAAATAAATAAGTGTTGGTGCTGCACGTGTCAGAGACACTTACTTTAGCCCAAGGTGATTCATGTAATTGGGTTCAACATAAAGAAGGGTATTCTATTCCTTGCCTTTCTGCAATGGATTATTGACTCAGTCACGGCCACCAATTTAGACCTGCCATTGCTGATGAAACTGTAACGCTGTCATGAGAAAGTTTAATGAAGAGTCTGTGCCAGATATATCAAGGTAAACCAACCCTGACATGCATGAAGCCAGGAGAAGTAAAACAGTCCATACAACTAAATATCAACTGCCCAAGACATTAACTTTGTATCAGATGAGTGGTAGCCGGTCAACGCAGCTAAAAAGGGAGACACTGAATGTATCACGTTTGCTTTCAATCACAGCAATTAATAGAATATCAAAATCCAGGCTGAACTGGCCTTCAGATTAGGCCAGCCGATGCCATGACTGAACAGTGGCATAATCATAAATTGTATAAATAATAAATGTAGTCTCAAATGGTTGTTGAGGCAACCCACCTGTAACTCAAAGCCCCCCCCCCCCATAGTTTCCAGGCTATAAAAACATGTTTATTTCTGCTGTAAAATGTGGGCATTTTAACATGTTGTTGATTGACTTGGAGTCAGCCTCCAGTGGCCATTCGAGGAACTGCAGCTTTTGGCACTTCGGGCGTACTTCATTTTCAGGCCGGAGGTTGCCCCACGGGCATAAAGGATGGTTAGTGCCCAGAACAATGCTGCTTTAATTAATGGCCAGATGTGCCTGACAGGCCGCCTTTGTGAATACAAACGAGACACCGGTTTCAGGCAGCATCTCCGTTTTTCAACCTACTTTAAATTAAACCACGTCCATGCATTCCCATGGAAACCGCGCAGGTCTGTTGCAGTGACAGGAAGTTTTCTCCTTCCTTAGCCTACATGAATGCAGTCAATTCACAGACCTTCAGTATTGTTCACTCAGTGGCATGACACGCAGCAGCTGAAGGGAGGTATTACAGGATGCTTGTCAATCTTACCACTCATGGAGTACACGCTTTCCAGCGCTGTCAAAGTATTTTCTTTTAATATATACACTGGCTGGGAGGTTTGAAGTATTCACATAAACTAAAAAAGGTTGGGGAAAACGTTAGAGGCGTCCAGGCACGCAGCGCACACAAGGTACTTTCTAGAACACTCATTCATTCATCCGACGGCATGAACTGCGTATCTTCAAGGAGCTAGAATTCCTCATTATTTATCTCAGGTGGACTGCAGGATTCAAATTTGGATATTTAACACTACAGGCAAGTCTGACATAATGTTACTTGGACATCTGAAGCATTTCTGTTTTTTTTTTTAAATCGACCTGGTGTCTCAGCGGTCACAGTGACATTTGACACAGATATTCAACAATACATCACCTAGCATCATCTAAAACACAGCTTCACATGCTTAACACTGACGTGAGTCACGGCCACACATTTTTAAGAGATTGAAACCCCGGTGTGGTCTTATCACATTGACTCGCCGGCTCCAGTGTTAAAACGCAGATGCACACTAAAGATGTACGTTGTTAGCTGGTGTTAGCAGCTGGATGCTAAAACAACACTATAACTTACGCCGCAGAAGACAGATCTGCACGAAGAAGAAGTGACTCCCTCCTGAAGACGCGTACGACCCCAAGACCTTGACACTTTGTTCATTTGAAGTTAGTAGCCCGTTGTCTTCTCCGTGCTTTACGTTTCCCCGGAGCTCAGATGCCCGTCAGACAATACCGCCTCTCCCCCTCATTATAAGGCGCTCACGCCCCCCTCGACACGCCCGTGACGCGTTTAGGTGCCTGCTGGAAATTTCTTCAGTTACTTTTCACGGATTCTGATTCTTGTATTGACGGTGTTGACCTGCAGGCAGTGGTGGAAGTTTACAGCGCATTTACCCACGCACTGTACTTAGTTATAAGTTTGAGGTATTTGTGCTTTATTTATTTCTATTTAAGAAATTTTAGCCTATAGCCTGTTTCTACCCCAATACATCTCAGAGACAAATACTTATAGGTTTTTACTCGAGTTATTTGACAGCTTCAGTTACTTTTCAGATTAGGCTACTTATAGCCTACTCTTCCTGTACAGTGAAAACCATTGTGCTTATAAATGTGGATGTTTGTGATAAACGGAAGGATTGTGTGTTCCTTTTATGGGTTGAGAAAATTATCCTACTCCTTAAGCTAAATAGAGTATTTAAACCCCCTTTGGATTGGCTGAAAATTTTATCGCCACAAAGCTGAAAACAGGACTGTTTGTCTGAGCTCATGAAAAGTTGACTTAAGTGGTTCTCACAGGACAGCGACGCAACAAACGCGATGATTTATTAAATATGATGCATTGAAGTAGTTAAAATGAGCTCAACCATACACAGCTACAGCCATCAAACATCAACACATTAATGCAGCAATAGTCTACTAATCAAAAAACATCAAAATCTTAAAACAGGGACAATTTTACTGCAGAATGATACATTCCGCAAGTTACATTTAGCTTATAATACTTACTTTAACTTGCGTAACGTACTTAAGTAAATGATTTGAACAGACTAATTCGTCCACCACTGCCTGCATGTTAACATAAACACAAAGGACACGTGTACTTTAACTGCCATTCAAAACGGGAAGCCAGTGGCGACTAAACACACCCACCTACCACCGCTTGTTTTGACTGCAAAAGAAAATTTTCCTCTCTGTTTTATGGTCTTTTAAAATTTAACTTAATGAATGCCATCTATAATGTCTATCAAAGTCATGGGAATTAAACAAGGACAGCTCTTCTAAAACATTATCTGACGATTACATTTGGATGGTTCTACCAAGGTGGCTAATTAACCCAAAGTTATAAAGTCACTAAGCTGTTGTAAATAGAAACTTCTAGAAACCCATATGCTGACTAATTACAAAAGAACTTTTAATCAGATTATAGGGGGCCGGTAATCTGGAACAATCTAGAAAACTGCCAACTGCTGCCTCTTTGAATAACAGTTAAAAAGAATACATATTGACTTGACTGATTTTTTTTTTCAGTTTTTAAATTTTTACTGAAGCCTTCCTAAAAAGTGAATTTTATTCCTGTATGCCAGAAGTAATGCCCATAAAAGATAGAAAGTGCATTCTTTTGCAAGCGTACATGTTTTAGTGGTGATCTGGCATAGATGAGGTTATTCATTGAAGCATCAGGCTAGTGGTCATGAGGAAGTGGTGGTAAATTAGAGCAATAGGAGGAAAGTCACCATTCGCAGTCTGCCACCATCACGACCACAGGATGATATACAGGATCTATTGTGCCATCATTATTTAGTTCGATTAAGCCATATTAGGTTCACTCTATTAAGAAAATAATGGTCTTTTTATATGAAATAGGTTATTGAAGGAAATGCAAACCTCCAGTTGTCATAAGGTTAGTCATTTGGATAAACTGAATATGCACGTGAGGTGTGTGTGTGTGTGTGTGTGTGCGTGCGTGTGTGTGTGTGTGGTGGGTGTGTCAGATAGGCTGCATAAAGTATTTGCCAACCTTGTAATTGTAAATATACTATAACTACAACCGACACAGCATGCATGACACAGCTTAATTGTTTCAGTCGTCGTCAGATCCTATGGGCAGCCTCAGAAGTCAGATAAGCAAAATATCGCTCATCGCTTGACTTCCAGCGAAACATCCTGCAAGACACAGCTCTAGCCTACATATCACTGGGGGGGGCAGAGTAAATTTCCACTCCACTCCACTCACTCCTCTAGACTCATATCTTGTAAATTTCCATTTCACGGAAAACTACATTTCCCAGGGAGCACTGCGCGCCTCTGTTGCGTAATTGTTGAGCAACAGCAGGGCGCACTAAGACATAATAGGCCACAGTTTGAGCTGGAAGCGTGAATTAATTCACTCTTGATGTGTCCGAGGTATCGCTGTGCACTTCTCCCTTATTTTCTGTGTAGGCCTAAAGTTTGATCGATCACGGTGACTTCAAATGCGTTTATCAAGCACACGTTCCTCACCTGTTACAGTGGTGCCATGTGGTGCTGCTTGTCTAAGGTTAGGCTACATTATAGAGTCTAGGCTAATATATAAGACTCGTTTATTCACTACATTTAGCCTGTTAAGTAGGGATAAGGCAGGAAAAGAATATTGAAAATGAGGTTAATAATGATAAGGTATCAATCTATCCAGTGTTTATTTTGTCATAAGATTTATTGAAAGAATGAATGATTTCATTTGTATCTGGTCATCCCCCCAGTCAACAACAAACCAAAACCTCCGGCATTTTACAACAAAGTATTGGCCTTACATTACGTAGAAATAGCCTATATAAAGTATAATATTCCAGAAGATTTCCAACAATAAGATGTAAATAAATAAATAAACACAGGCTCACAAAAATACAAACACATATAGGCTAAACAAGTAGGTATAACTGCAAAAGTTGTATAAAGCAAGAATATATGCACTAATTCATCTTGGTTAAGAGTTATAAAACTCACTCAGTTAGTAAATGAATAACATAATGTCTATACATTGTTCATTGTTGTTTTATTCTTTATTGAGAAATATATTCTAAAACGCAAACACATCAAAAAAGTAATCTATTAAAAATTTCATCTGCACTTTTACTCAAATCTGAATTTGAACACAATGTTGGATATATATAGGACAGTAGCAAACAAACCCCCCCAAAAAACGCTTTGTTTAAAGAAGATCTGTATGATAGGCCATCACAGAAACCTTTACATTATTACATAGACTACTGTGACAATCACATATTTATTGTTTTATGTCTCATGTTTATTGAAAATATGTCAGTTTACCTAGAAATTCCATGAATTTATTCCCATTCCAAAATAAAGAAATTATAATTATATCAATAATACAATAATACACAAATTATACATACAGTCTGTAGATATAACGAGAAAGTTAAAGAAGAAGGGGTGTACGTTTTTATTCTCTTATGTCAAACATCAGTTCAATCAGTTGTTTGGGTTTAACATCCAGTTGTACATGTTTGTATTTAAAAATGTCCACAGTTCAGCACAGTAATCAAAAAAGCACTGGTATTTAACTAATAAATGAATAAATACAAAATGCTCAGCTATTATAGTACTGCCAACACTGTGAAAATGTTCAGTTGCTACTCAGAGAACTGACCTTAAAATCTTGCTGCTCCTCTACAAATCGCTCTGGGACAGAAATATTTCTGATATTCTTGAGCCATGTGAACCTCCTACCACCCTTAGGACATCTGGGACTACTGGCTGTCCCAAGAGTCCGAACAAAACACGATCAAGCAGCATTCTGTTATCATGCAACACAGACCTGGAATACCCTTAAGCTTAGTTTTTAAATAGCTTTCATTTTTATTGTTTTGGATTGTTCTTAATTATTTAAATTGTGCATCTAAATGTTGGGGTATTTGCTTCCCATCCACCCTGAAGCACAGTGTTCACAGACATTTTTAACTCGTCACTGGAGACATGCCATGTGCCAGCCTGCTGCAAAGCATCCACCATCATCCCTGTCCCCAAAAAACCAAGGACCACAGGACTAAACAAATTCAGACCCGTCGCCCTGACCTCTGTGGTAATGAAGTCCTTTGAGCGCCTTGTGTTGTCCCACCTTAAATCCATCACAAACCTCTGCTGGAACCCCTGCAGTTCGCCTACAGCGCCATCAGGTCTGTAGATGATGCAGTGAACTTGCCCCTTCACTACATCCTTCCAGTACCTGGACTCCCCAGGAACCTATGCCAGGATACTGTTTGTGGATTTCAGCTCTGCTTTTAGCACCATCATCCCAGCCCTGCTGCAGGACAAGCTCTCTCCGCTGAATGTGCCTGACTCCACCTGCAGGTGGATCACTGACTTCCTGACGGACAGGAAGCAGCACGTGAAGCTGGGAAAACATGTCTCTGACCATCTGGTGACCTGGTGCAGCCACAACAGTCTGGAGCTCAACGCTCTAGACCATGGAGATAGCAGTGGATTTTAGAAAGAGCCCAGCCCCACCCTCCCTCATCATCCTGAGTGACTCCCCCGTCGCCACTGTGGACTCCTTCCGCTTCCTGGGCACCATCATCTCCCAGGACCTCAAGTGGGAGCTGAACATCACCTCCCTCACCAAGAAGGCCCAGCAGAGGATGTACTTCCTGTGGCAGCTGAAGAAGTTCAGACAATGTTGGTGCACCACCATCAATGAGTCCATCACGTACTCCATCACCATCTGGTACGCTGCAGCCACTGCCAGGGACAAGGGCAGGCTGCAGCGCATCATTTGCTCTGCAGAGAAGGTGATTGGCTGCAATCTTTAATCACGTCAGGACCTGTACGCCTCCAGAACTTTGAGGCGAGCAGGAAAAATTGCAGCTGACCCCTCCCACCCTGGAGACAAACTGTTTCAGACTCTCCCCTCTGGCAGGAGGCTGCGGTCCATCAGGACCAAAACCTCTCGCCACAAAAATTTGTTGTGTAACTTCACAGGGTGTAGGTATGACGTGCTTGGCATGGCCAAGTAAGTGTTGACAGTGAGTGTGCTTGTGTACGTACCTTATTCTTATACTGTACACGGTAGCCATTTTCCTTGAAAAAGAAGTGCTGCCAGACTTGCCTGTATTACCAGTTTTTTTTATCGCAATGCATCATCCTAAAAACACTCTTGCTGTCATGTCACAGGTCACAGCACATTTCCTCCCATTCATTGAGAAGAAAAAGGTGTAGGGAAAAATGGGATACAGGATGACTCTTAAGATCATCTTTACCATTACCTATTTTTGAGATGGGGGCTTTATTCTCATCGGTAATAACCATCTAGCATAATTGCCACTGGCAGAGTTACAGCTATTAACAAAGCTTTTTGTTAATTAACAAAGTTTTTTCATCTTCGTCTGCAACCTTGGAATAATATAAGTTTTTTAAGTGCAAATTTCATATGAATGCATTGAAGATTATTAATTATCAAATAAGTTATGTCAAGCAGGCAGCATGTACAAGAATTTAGCAACCAGTAGGTAAGTGTTCTAGACAAAAAACAACACAAATGAAGAACACGTCATAGTGTGAAAAGCTCTTCCTTCCAGTTCTTCCTTGAACAAAAGTCTGTC